ACACACCCATGAAGAACCCGATTCAGTTTTGGCCGAAAAAGTGGATCTTGGGGCACCAATCTTGGAGAAAAGCTCAAAAGAACACACCCATGAAGTTGTTGAAGAACCCGATTCAGTTTTGGCTGAAAAAGAGGATCTTGGGGCAACAATCTTGGAGAAAAGCTCAAAAGAACACACCCACGAAGTTGTTGAACAACCCGATTCAGTTTTGACCAAAAAAGAGGATCTTGTGGCACCAATCTTCGAGAAAAGCACAAATGAGCACACCCACGAAGTTGTTGAACAACCCGATTCAGTTTTGGCTGAAAAAGAGGATCTTGGGGCACGAATCTTGGAGAAAACCTCAGAAGAACACACACATGAAGTTATTGAACAACCCGATTCAGTTTTGGCTGAAAAAGAGGATATTGGGGCCCCAATCTTGGAGAATAGCTCAAAAGAACACACCCACGAAGTTGTTGAACAACTCGATTCAGTAATGGCTGAAAAAAGGGATCTTGGGGCACCAATCTTAGAGAAAAGCTCAAAAGAACACACACACGAAGTTGTTGAAGAACCCGATTCAGTTTTGACTGAAAAAGAGGATCTCGGGGCACCAAATTCCGAGAAACGAGAAGTTGTTGAAGGTCTTGATTCAGTTTTGACTGAAAAGAAGGATCTTGGTGCACCCAACTCAGAAAAATGCTCAAAAGAACACACCAAAGAAGTCATCAAAGAAACAAAACTTGATAATGACGGTAAGACTGCTTCTGGTGTTGTGTCTGAACACATCGTAGAAGAAGGTAACAGCAAACTGATGCCAAATCAAGATTCCGGTGTGGATTTCTCGGTAGATTCAAGCAGCCGCAACAGTCTTGAGGGAAATTGGGGATCAGTTTCAGGTACATTCTCTTTGTTTTCTTGGTAAGCATTCAATGTGAAGTTTATGAACTTTGAATGAGCTGTTGGTTGTTTTTTTACATGTTACAGTGCTTTCTACTGCTTCAATCGATGCCGAAGCTTCACATTCGACCGACAAGTCAAAAGTCAACTCTGGGAAGTTGGTTGCAGCCGATAGCCACTTGGGTTCATCCGATGTCTTTGAACCACCATCATTTATGACACTAGTCGAACCAAAAGTCGATGATCAGAAACCTGCTACTGGTTCACAAGATTCCGAACAGCAATCCGAAGCTTCACAAGCCGGCTGGTTCCCGACTCTAACCAACGTCAGCAATGAATCAGATGGTAGAAAGAGGAACGAGGAAGTGATCGCAAAAGTTACAAACTGGAGCAGCAGCACCCCCACCACCGCCACTGGGAAATACTCAACGCCTCTAAAGAACCTGTTGGGTGAAGCCAAATCGCCAAACGCTAAACAACCACCACCACCGGCAGCGGCGACTGTGGTCGAGAAAGATGAGGCTGCAACTGTGGTTGAGAAAGATGAAGCTCCGGCGGCGGCCGCGGCGGTGATGTCGCCGCCGAAATTGATTGATGACGGCAAGAATGCAAGGAAGAAAGTAAAGGGTAGAGGGTCATGGATGCCATTTGTCTGCTGTTCTTCAGTAAATGTTGTTAATTAGAAGATGAGATGCAAGATTGCAGACTGGTGTTGCCATCAATTTGTTGGTCTAATTTGTTGCTAGTTTGGGTATTTGTATATTTTAAGTGATATAGAATGGGTGATTTTGTACTCTAATTGTGTTTAGAATTTGTATCTCACCTGAATCGCTCAATCTATCGACTAGAGGAGAAGCTTAGAGGCCGTTTACTTGAATGCTTACCCGGTAAGTGTTTAATGTTAGGAGTCTAACACTATAATTTATTTTGTTGGGTAAGACTCTAGTACATCAAAACATGTCATATACAACAATTTACCTTGTAAACACTTACCCAAGTAAGAGTCGCCACCCTCATTTACCCGGTAAGAAAATACCCTGTACTTAATAGATAAAAGGGATCATTTCGTTTAGTTTAGTTAGTGCAATAATTTACTCGTTCAAAGAAAATACCCAGTACTTAATCGCTCACAATTTGAAAATCCGATTAGCTCTATCATTCCATTATTGTGCCGGCAGGCCTGCATTATCGAGCAAGCTGTTATACATAAAAACGAGCTAGCTTGCTTGCATTCTAGAAACGGTAGCTTCCGCACTGTCTAGTGCGAGGTCGTCCCTTATGTATCACATATCCTACTCGGAAGACCGTTCACATTGGCAATGAATTACATAGAATAGAAACTACAAATCAAGAGGAAATACAAGAAAGAAAGGTACACATGAGATTGAAAATTAGGATTCAAGTGTACATTTGCATAACAAAAACCAGTAAAAACGAGTCGAACCCGAAGTTTTCTTGCATTTTCGAGCTCCTAACTCTCATATAACCTCATAAATTCGAATACACAATCAATCGACATAATCCCTATCGTAACTTACAAAACCGTTAAACGTAAGAACACCTGCTACTCTTGCTGCCTAATCTGGATACGCTAAGATTAAACATATAAAACCCATATGCTCATTATTTTTTTCAAGATTTCAAATGGGACTTTTAAAGAATCATCACACATCTTGCTTCTATCCTTCTTATCCATGGAAAACACATTTTTTGGGTATAAATTTCGGTATAAAATGCCAACATTTTAAGAAGATTGAACTGCGAGCCTCTGTAGATGCTCGAAAAATACTTGAAGGTTCACGTCATCGGTGAAAATAACATCCATTCCAGCGGCACCTTCATTATTGTAGGTTGCCGAAGGATTCAACTTGGCCAACAAGAACCGTGCCTGAAAATAACAGGGTATTAGTCGGATCATGGATAGGATACAAAAAAGGGGATGCAAAACGAGATTAAAAAGATTTGATGGTGACCTGAGAACCGTGTTGATCACACACCACCAATCTTGGGACGGGAAACCGATCGCGTATTATCAACTCGGCGTCGTCGTGTGGAGCTTGCAACAACTGTGCAAACGCCTATGAACGATGGAAACCGAAATACGTTATATGGGTTATGATTTATTCATACCTAAAGTAGAAAAACCTTGAGGGTGTGTTTGGTACATTGAACAGGCTAAAACAGTATAGAAACTTCTTGTCCCACGTTCAAATTTTAAATGTGGCATTAGAGTGGGACTGGACAACACCTGAGTGGGACAAAAATGCATTTTTCTAACCCACCAATTTAGCGTAAATTACTAAACTATCCATGTAAAAACAGGTGGAACAAAAACAAAGAAGATGAGACATGATCGGTAAATTACTAAACCACCCATTTCAAATTATGTGGAACGAAAATCAGGGAGATGAGACAAGATTGGTAAATTACTAAACCACCCATTTCAAAATATGTGGAACGAAAATCAAGGAGATGGGACAAGATTAATAAATTACTAATCTACCCATATCAAAATTAGGTGAACATAAACCAGGGAGATGAACAAGATTGGTAAATTACTATATTACCCATATCAAAATAGGTGGAACAAAAATTCAAGGAGATGAGATATGATTGGTATATTACTAAACTACCCTATCAAAATAGGTCGAACAAAAATTAGAGAGATACATAATTGGTAAATTACTAAACTACCCTATCAAAATAGGTGGAACAAAAATTAGAGAGATACATGATTGGTAAATTACTAAACTATCCCTGTCGAAATAGGTGGAACAAAAAATCAAGGAGATAAGACATGACGGGTAAATTACGAAACTACCTATGTCAAAGTAGGTGGAACAAAAATAGGGAAATCAAACATGATTGGTAAATTACTAAAGTACCCTATCAAAATAGGTGGAACAAAAATCAAGGCAATAAGACATGACTAGTAAATTACTAAACTATCCATGTCAAAATAGGTGGAATAAAATCAGGATGCGAGACACGGTAGGTAAATTACTAAACTACCCTTGTCAAAATAGGTGGAACAAAAATAAGATATGAGACATGATTGGTAAATTACCGAACTAACCATGTCAAAATAGGTGGAACAAAAATAAAAAATATAAGACATAACTCGTAAATAACTAAGCTACCCCTGTCAAAATAGGTGGAAGCAAATATCAGGAAGATGAGACAAAATTGTTAATTACAAAACTACCCATGTCAAATTAAAACCCTAAAACCTTTCATAATTTTTTAACTCGCCTACCTATTCACGCCTATCTAGTCCACGTACCAAACATACCCTTAAAGATTTTCCAAATAATCAACAATAAACATACCTGGTGTTCGGGCTGATTCTGGTAACCCATGTTCCTCCACTGAGCTATTGTCATTCCATGGAATATAACTACACTGAAGTATGAATCTAATAAAAGGATTCTATCAGCTGAAATGGATGCCACATCAAGCAATGCTGGTGACGGTAGTGAATTAAATGAATACGATATTAACGAAGGTTGAATCATGACAGCCGCATTTGTTATACTCTCCCGGTTAAGCATCATGCGAAAATAAGCAGTCTCATCTGGACTATTATTGAACACCTGTTATAAACAATATATATTTATATATAAGACAAACAAGAATGGAAATCAATCAATATAGAATGCAAGCTCAAATCTATTGAAATATGGGGGTTTTTACCTGCACAAATTGTGATCGCCTAAGATTGAACATAAACTGAGGAAACAACGAAAAACTAGGGTTTAGGGCGAACGAGGTTGGATCGTCTTTTCTATAGTCACCGAATTTAGAACACAGACGAATGAGATTTCTATCTAGCCACCTTGTTGCATCGAATGTTTCCTGTAATTATTATAAATCCATCAAAGAAAAAGAAATAGTAACACGGGATAGTTATGTGAGTGTATGGTATTGTTTTTTAGTACCTCCGACTCCATCTTATACGAAGTTAATCTAGCCATTACCACAGCAGCGGCTTCTTGATCGAAACCTTGTACTAATTCCTGTCGAGAACAAATTATCCTGATTAACACTATTTTCAGCAGATTTCCGATAAAAGTCGGATGACTAGATTATAGAGTTGGAAATAGTATATCAGAAACTTAAAGAAAATGTATCACATTGAAAATATATGATCCTGAAAAGCAACCCTGAACAGATGCATATAAATAATATAACTCTACCATATCGGACGGTATGCACAGGTTCAGGGAAAAACCACAAAAAAATGAAAAAAATGAAATACACCCTGGTAACTATTCATTTGGACGGTATGCACATGTGCATACAAGTAACTTTAAGCAATTTGTCTGGTATGCACATGTGCATAACATGCACACCTGCATAAAAACCAAGAAACAACTTCAATTATTTCTATGCACATGTGCATATTGTACAGGTGAATGGTTACTAGGGTAATCTTCAGTTTTCTCCGAAACCTCCTCTCTCTCTCTCTCTCCCGCTCTCTGCACACACACACACACACACATATGTATCCATATATGAATGCACACAATCATGTGAGAAAATTTTCACTTTCTTGAGAACAAGTGAAGATACCTTTATATTGTGTGAATGTTACGTTATACTGTGAAGATTGTAAAAGTTGCATTATAATTGTAACCTTCACACAATATCAACGACAAACTTTCACATAATATGAGGGTGCCTTCACTTTTTCTCAAATTCTCATGAAAATGGGTTGTTCTCACTAGAACCCAACCAAACCCGGTATATTCCATATATATATATATATATATATATATATATATATATATATATATATATATATATAAACTCAGGTTCAAGGGAAGACCACAAAAAAGGAAAAACTAAGAAACACCCTAATAACCATTCATTTGTCTTGTATGCACACCTGCAAGTAACTGAAAATGTTTCCTTGTTTTTATGCACGTGTGTATAATGGACAAATGAATGGTTATTAAGGTGTCTCTCAGTTTTCCCATTTTTTGTGGTTTTCCCATGAACTCAACCCTACGTATATATGTGTGCATGTGTGTTGAATTTAACCCTTTAACCACATCTTCAATCATTTTGTGGGTGGGACTTTGTGCAGGAATTATTCTTCGTATCATTATTTCTTCACAGACCAAATAAGAAAAAAGGAAGATGTTGAACATTAAATGATCTACATGAATAGTGTCTAAACTTTTTATTATTTTACCTCTGAGAGAATGGAAGTCTCTAACCATCTTCTAGTAATGGTGGTAACTCGCATCTTCGATTGTCCATCAATACTCTGGTAACTGTGTCAAATTTTATGATCAAGACATTTCAATCACACAAGACTAAACAAAATTAGTAAATTACTAAACTACCCACGTAAAATTAAAACCCTAAAACCTTGCACAATACATCCACCCGCCTACCTGACTCTCGCCTGCCCATTTTGTCACTAAACGTACCCAAAAAGAACAAACTAAGGATCTGTTTGTTAGCAGCTTAATGAGCTTAATGGGACTCACAGCTTATTCGGTCAGCTATGCATAACTGTTTGGTAGTAGCTTAATGATAAAGAAAGTGGCTTATTCAGTAAGCTTCTGGGGGGGAGCTTTATGCAGAAAGCCAGGTTTTCTCCAAACCTTCCCTTCCCAATTAAAAAACATGAAAAACCCCTCTAAAAAACCCTTCCCAATCTATACAAACAGATTAATTAAACCACAGACAGCTTTATCCATACAGGACTTAACGGAAAACCAACCAAACAGCCCCTAAGTCTGTAATTACCTTGTAACAGTCTGTATATACAATTGTGGGTTTGCATTTCCCGAAGCATCTGATTTGTCACTTGATGATATATCGAAGAAAACCGTCAAGCAAGTATTTTTGTCCAGTCCACACAACCTCCAAGCTGTGGTATTCCCCTGTCCAATCACTGTGCTGGCAACGGAGGGTCCTTTCTGCAAGGCAAACACTAATTGGTAAACCAACAAAAGAAGTCAAAACTGATCTTAAACACATTATTTGCACCCGGGTTTATAATCACTGTTTAGTTTTCCAGTAAGGTTTAGTAAAGGACCTTCTCCAAAGATGTGCAAGATCCAATGATCCCTTGAATTTTAATGTCCTTTGAACAGTTGATCTCAAGCATGCCACTGAAAGTAATAAACTAGTGAATAGTCTCAAAAGATGCAAATGCATGATATATAAATACCATAAAGTTACAAAAATAAAAACTCCTGATGTCCTAAAAAATGGAATGCTATCTTTTTTGGTAAGTTTCAATCCAGATTTTTTTTGCCCATCAGTAATCAAGAGGAAAGTTCAAAGGAGAACAATATATATATATATATATATATATATATATGGAGAACCTCAAAACCAACTATTTCATGTATTATTAATAACGAATAACCCTATATGGTCATGAATATCATGATACCATGCATTTTCATTATGGAGAAATTTTAGTGATGAATTAGTATCATGACATTCATCGTGGATAATACATAAATAGTTGGTTCCAAAGTTCTCAAAATATTGATGTTTCTTCTTCTTCTTGTATATAGTTATATATATAAGGTTGGGGGGGGACCACAAAAAAAAACGAAAAACCGAGGAACACCCAGTAACCATTCATCTGGACAGTATACACATGTGCATACAAGTATTTGTCCGGTATGCACATGTGCATAACATTCACACATGCATGGAACCAAGAAACAATTTCAGAACTTGTATACACAGGTGCATATCATACATATAAATGGGTACCAAGGTGTTCCTCAGTTTTTCATTTTTGGGGGTTTTCCCCTGAACCTCCCTCTCTCTCTCTCTCTCTACACACACATATATATATGTTATCGAGACAAATGTTGCACTTCTTTTTGGAATGAATGGAAGTAACGATCATCCTAATTCAGAGAAAAGCAAGAGAAACACATAGCCCAAATCGTCAAGCAAAAATACTCACTTATGGGAGAGACCAAGAGATTCCTCCCCCTTCTCAAAAACACGCCTAAATGAGTCCTTGAAAACGGAATGACCAAAACTTTCAGCTAGAACAACAAGGCCGCCAGTCCTTTCAATAACAACTTTCATCTCTGCTACCCCAACCTAACGACATAAACAACATTAGATTTACAAATCATATAAAAGCATTATAAAAAACTACTTCATATTTCAAAAAAGAAGAGTATTTCAAAGAGCATTTAAATTTGTAAAACCAAGAGTGGTTTTGTTAGGACACAAGAAGTATGAAGATAACTAAGAATCTTCGTTCACAATCAGGTCAAATATTGGAGGACACACAAGCAAGTTTACCTTCAAACTTCAGAAAGAAAGAAAGAAAGATGGATAGATAGATAGATAGATAGATAGACGACCAAAAATATTCATAAACCAACCATACTCCATCTGGGATTAAATAATCACATGTGAAGTTACAAATGAAACCAGGAATTGGGCTGTTAAAATCTAGAAAAGACTTCTAAAAAATGTGTTGTTTTATTATCATCCATTTTTGAACGGGATGGAAAAATAAGACCTCCTTCCCTATATACAATCCATTTCAAATGAGCAACCAAACTACATTTTTTTCATTCTTACCAAACACAGCAAAAAGTTGAACATGCAAAGGAATGTGATAGGACAACATGGTCATTAATAGGGATTCAAAAGTTCAAAAAAAATTCGGAAAAAATTTATACACAAAGATAAAAAAATTTCTTATTTATTTCATAGGATAACGGGTTATAAGCAGAACATTATTTATATAGCTATATTTAGCTAGCGTTTTTATTGATGACAATTATCAACTTTAGCTTTAAATTTTATAGTTGGGATAACTATTAGTAATGTCATTATTCTTAGCTTTCCATTTAATTTTATGTACAAATGTAATTCCATATCATAATCAGATTTAGGATCAATATTTGTCAAGTTCGTTAGCACCAATCTTTCTGTTCATCTCCGCTTCCCTTATTTACCTCCTCCTCTCTTCAATCATATCTTCTTCAACCTCCTATGAGATGGCATCACATCTCTAAACCATAGCTAAGAAGTTCCCCAAACCGTATTCCATTATTTATTCAAAGAATTTTCACAAAAGAAGGCGGTTATTTTGAACCATGTAAAGCAAACTTTATAGTGGTAGGATGTTTGGTGACCTAGCTATGATGATAAGGGAAGATATTATTAGTTCAATTTTAGGACTCGTGGAAATTAATAGCCGGAAGATTTTAACGTTCCAATGCAGAATCTGAAGCTCAAGAAAACAAATAAAATCAAGACGATAAAAACAAGTAAGAAAGAACATTGAATTCAGCCAAAATGATGGGATTTCACAAGGCCTAGCACATTGATAGTTTGGAAAATGAAATAAAAAGCATATACGCTGGTCCAATTCAAAATACCCAAACAAACAGCATGAAAAATATTCCTGGTTTCTATCCACGTGTGCATAAAAGTGATTGAAAATGTTTCCTGGTTCCTATGCACGTGCGCATAAAAGTGATTGCAAATGTTTCCCAGTTTCTATGCACATGTGCATAAAAGTGATTGGAAATGCTTCCCGGTTTCTATGGACGTGTGGATAAAAGTGATTGGAAATGCTTCCTGGTTTCTATGCGCGTGTGCATAAAAGTGACTGAAAATGTTTCATGGTTTCTATGCACGTGTGCATAAAAGTGACTGAAAATGTTTCCTGGTTTCTATGCACGCATGCATAACAGTTATTGAAAATGTTTCCTGGTTTCTATGCACATGAGCATACCGGACAAATATATATATACACACACACACATATGATAAGATAAAAAGACTATAATTCTCAAAATGATTATCAGAATCTAGTAATGAGCTCTCTACCTGGTCAAGTGCGGAAGCAAAAAGGTCCAAGACATGACCCTGGCTAACCATCTGCTTTGAAAGTTCCTCGTAAAATTGAACTGCCTTCCTAAAATATGGTGCTGCATCCTTATCCAGATCTTTATGTGAACGTACCGGATCTGAGAGATCTTTTGATATAATCTGCAAGAACCCAAAAACTAATAGAAGTTTAGATTCAACCGAAAGAAAAAAAGAAATGAATTTTCGTAGTTCTCAAACAACAAAGTTCACCAAGTATGTGAACAATCATTCTCTTCACTAAGTCAATAGAACTTATCCAACAAGGTCTGAAAGAACTAAAAATTTGCAGACATTTCAAATCAATCAAGTGTTAGTATGAGAGCCAGCTATATCCGTTTTTCTAACACGGAGATTAGCATGCATTTTCTTTTATTATTATTATTGTCATCACTTATAGTCACTGTTCTAAAAAGGGCTCCCTAAGGCAACCGCCATAGGGCGTCGTGGCTCAAGGCTTGTGTCTGATGCCACGTTAAGCTTATGGCACGCCATGACACGATGCGCGGTTTTTGTAAAGTGAAATTTGATATTTTATCTTTTTACACCAGTTTGGTCCCTGGCTCTGATACCATTTGTAATGTCCCAGGCCAACCGTCCCAGAAATTGCTTTGTCCACACATGAATTCATGGTTTTAAAAAGCTTATGATAGAGGAGATATCCAATCCCTTATAAGGCAACATTCATTCCCCTTCCCAACCAATGTGGGATCTTACGACGTATGCGTATATATGTATAATTTTATATATGATATACAGATTTGCCACCATAAGTCAGGCCTTGAAAAACGTCGTGGCCTCGGTTGTGGTTCCTAAGGCTTGAGGTTTAGGTTTGACCTCGTAGACACGCCACGGCTCACGCCATTTAGAACCTTGCTTATAGTGCAAATCGCATAGATTGCACAAATTTCTTTTATGGGAACTCACCTTGCACTACGAATTTTGTGTGGACCTATACTCCCAATCCCTGACAGCCCACAAACCAGCTAGAGTTCCACAAGCCTCCTGATAGGTGAGGTTCTAGTGATCACTTATTCATCAAGGGGAAGACAAATACTAATAAACTACAAATATGTGTGTGAATATGAAGAATTGGATATTGAGTCATAAAACCTGGCTAAATCATAATAATAGAACAATTATGTGAAGGCTATACAAGTCTGAATCCCTAATATGCTAAAGAGTAGTAAGGGATTGTTTGTTAGCAGCTTAATGAGTTTAGTGGGACTCACAGCTTATTCGGTCAGCTATACATAACTGTTTGGTAGTGGCTTAACGGTATAGAAAGTGGCTTATCGGTAAAGCTTCTAGGGGGAGCTTTATGCAAAAAGCCAAGTGTTTCCAGACATGCCCCTCCCAGTTAAAAAACATGTTCCTTCCATCTATGATAAAACCCTCCCAAACAATAATCTTCTCAATCTATATAGACAAATTAATCCACATAGATAGCTTTATCCATAAAGAGTTTAATGGAAAACCAACCAAGCAGCCCCTAACTGTGATCACAATACAAACATGGTGGTGAAGAACTAACTAAATTTCGTACAACCAAAGTTGAAAAATAGACGAAGTCAATTCAGATGTTAAAGCGGAACTTGCTTTCCAATTAAGAGCGCTCTCCTAAACCCTAACCCTAGTTCTTGGATAAATGTTGCAGCCACATATTAAATGGAGAGTATATTGAGTTCATTATTCTTTTCATACAACGAAAAATGAACTTATAATACATTAATTCTTAGCACCAGTCATTGGTATAACTCCAATGATCCTTTCAATGATTATTACAAGATTCAAGAAAACCATAGCAGAAAAGCATCATTCGGCAAACAAACAAATCGAATAACCTAAATCTAGCATAAATCTAGAAACCGAAAAACAATCCCATTATAGCATAGTAATTGGAAAACCAGTAATAATGTGATAACTACATTGATAACAACAATTTGCAGTCCAGTTACACGATGAAGAAAAGTTCACAGAAAAACTCACCGAACCAGGGCCTTCGGTACACGGACCACCGACCAATGCCACAATTCGAGCACCCGTACCAGGCATACAAGCCCCTAGCAAACCAGCTGCAACACTCAGTGCTACACCAGTGCACCTTAACGATCTATTACCTGGTGCAACTGGCCATTGATCTGTGACCAATTCCTCCAAAAGCTGAATTCAACAGTTCAAATTAGTATTCTATTAGCATTTAGCAACAAGAATGTTTATAACTTTAAACCAAGATCATAATACAACTCACAGATTGGATAATATATGCACCATCAGAAGCAGGCAATAAGAACCTAGAAACCCCAGAATTTGGAAACCCCCCACCTTGAACAACCCCTTTCTGAAACCCCTGCCCTGGTGCACCACCAACTCTCCGGCCACCGGCAATACCACCTAATCCTAGCTGATCCAAAACCTGCTCTTTAGTCATCTCTTTCGACCCACGAAACACATAAACCTTCGACATATCAGCATACCCTAATTCATGAACCTGAACCTGCGTCCCAAACGAAACAAACCCTACCAACGCATTATCCGGCAAGAATTCAAGCGCCTGTTGCAACGCCGATCTAGCAAACGCCAATTCCTCCTCGATCATACACGTATCAAGCACGAATAAATAAACAGGTGGAGGGAGCGCATGGTGGAGATCGGAAYTGGGGAAAGCGTATTCGATGGTGGTGTAWTGAGGGTAGAGTTCGGCAGGGACGTTGGTCTCGGAGATACCGGAGAAGTGATGAGGGAAGTGGTTTCGTTGGAAACAGAAAGGACAGATCCAGATGAGGGCGGAGAAGTCGACG